AGCTTTTGTATGTATTAAAGTCTGTTTTTTTCTTAGCTTGTGAAATATATTTTTGTTGGGTATAGACCTAGGATGACTTTCTTTTCCCCTTTAGTATTTAAATATGTTGGTTCACTGTCTTCTGGCTGTCAGTTCCCCCAAAATGTCTGCTCTTATCCTTATATTTGTTTCTGTATACTTAACATGTCTTTTTTTCTTGTGGCTGTTTTATAATTTCTATCACTGGTTTTGAGTAATTTGATTATAAAGTGCCTTGCTGTAGCTTTCCTCATTTTTCCTTGTGCTTGGGGTTCATTGAACTTCCTGGTTCTATAGGTATATTATTTCATCAAATTTAGGATTGTTTTCAGTCATTATTTCTTCAAATATTTTTCTTTCTACCCCTTTTTCTCCTTGATTCTGGGGACTCTAATTACATGTATATTAACCACTTCAAATTACTTTACAACTCACTGATTCTCTGCTCATTTAAAAATTCTTATTTTCTGCTTGTGTTTCTTTGGGAAACTTTCTCCTGCTGTCTTCAAGTTCACTAATCCTTTCTACTGTGATGTCTAATCTGACATTAAGCCAACCCAGTGTATTTTTTCATGTCACATTGTAGTTTTATCTTTAAAAGTTTGATTTGAAGTCTCAACAAATTCAAAAAAACTGGAATTATCCCATGTATTTTTTCAGACCACAATAGATTAAAATTGGAAATCAATAACAAAATAAACTCTGGAAACTATACAAACATATGGAAATTAAACAGCATTCTACTTAATGACATATGGGTCCAAGAAGAAATCAAACAGGAAATCAACAAATTTATTGAAACTAATGAAAACAATGATACATCATACCAAAACCTGTGGGATACTGCAAGAGCAGTACTAAGGGAGAAATTTATTGCATTAAATGCTTACTTCAGAAGAATGGAAAGATGGCAAGTGAATGACCTAATATTTTAACTTAAAGAACTAGAAAAACAAGAAAGGTCCAAACCCAAAGTTAGCAGATGGAAAGAAATCATTAAGATCAGAGGAGAACTTAATGATATTGAAACCCAAAAAACAATACAAAAGATCAGTGAATCAAAAAGTTGGTTGTTTTAAAAGATAAATAAAATTGACAAGCCATTAGCATGGCTAACTAAAAAAAGTAAAGAGAAGACCCAAATAACAAAAATTGGAAATGAAAAAGGTGATATTATGACTGATATCTCTGAAATACAAGGAATCATTAAAGACTACTATAAACAACTATATGCCAACCAATTTGAAAATCTGGAGTAAATTGATAAATTTCTGGACACACACACACTACCAAAACTGAGCCAAGATGATGTAGAAAATCTGAACAGACCAATAACAATAAAAGAGAATGAAGCTGTTATCAGAAGGCTCCCAACAACGAAAAGCCCAGGACCAGATGGATTCACAGCAGAATTCTACCAAACATTCAAAGATGAATTGACACCAATTCTCTACAAACTATTCCAAAAGATTGAAACAGAGGCCATTCTCCCAAACTCATTCTATGAAGCAAACATCACCCTGATACCAAAACCAGGTAAAGATACAACTAAAAAGGAAAACTATAGGCCAATATCCTTGATGAATATACATGCAAAAATCCTCAATAAAATACTAGCTAACAGAATACAGCAACACATATGCAAAATTATACACCATG